TGGACGCGAATATGCCATTTCTATGTCTTGTCATGACAGTTACGCACTTGCCGCGTCCTTTAAAAATCTCAAAATTGCATACGCTACTTCTACTCTATTTACAGTCGATTAGGTAATCAGCAATCAGTTCAAAACTATTCCGCCTTCGACGAGATGACGCAGACGATCAGACATGACGTGACACAGTAGCGCCCCGCGTGCCCCTTCTGTTCCGAATTCCGCCACTACATCTACAATAATCGTTCCAAATTTTAGGCATCGGAAGTGGTAAATGTCACCTTGGAAAACATTGCTAATATGATGGACATGGTACGGTAGAACCCGATCACAGGGATTTTTCTAGAAGACTCAATAGACTCCTAATGCTCAGAATGATCTTCTAATTTAATTGTAATAATTGATAGGAAGCGATCTTTTCAGTTCTAGTCCTCAACTATAAGCTTAAAAGATTACCACGTCTCGAATGTTCAGAAAATATGCTTCAACTCTTTTATTGATGTATATAACAATTAAGTCCTACACAACATGTTTACTAAATAAATAAGTAATAAACAGTTACCAGAGATTGGCGAATTACAGCTTGGAAGCCGACTTGGTGCTGAACATGTCGGGAAATATATGTGGAGACCGGATGTTTTCACAGAAGTACAAGGAATAGGCGGTTTACAGTACCCCCGAAAAATAAATGTGAAATCAAATGTGTCGGACCCGTGAAAGCACGCAAATGGGGTACAGCGTAAGACGGTATGGTCACCCGAATTTGAGTAACCGGGCGCAGCCTAGTCGAGAACTCTCTGTACAATGGGTTTGCAACTCGCCGTATTTAGCACTCAATTCGATATGCAGTTCCGGAGTAATGGGAGCACTCGGCAGTGTCTCTGTGTCTCTTCCACTAAGTGAGCGTGTAGACGACCAGAGTAAAGAAGAGTACGCTTTGTCGTTGCTCCGCAATATTAGCTCAATAAATAACGCTCTAGTGACGTCTACCCTCTATGCTCAAGCCTTGTAAAGAAAAGAGAGGCTACCAGTTGTGGCTTGGGCCCTTCACAACAACGCCAGCGCCAGCAAAACATATGTAATCAGCACCCAATGAAAAACAGAATCAAAAACAACCAAACTTAGACACTTACAAAAAACAAATAGACGAAGCGAACGATATATGTGTATATTTGTTTATTCATACACTGACGAATTAACTGGCCGTGAACCAAAACGTTACCTGCACCTACTCATAAGGCTGATGCAATCCCAACAACTCAAATCCCTATGTGCTACAAGAAACTGAGAGTCAAGATAAATCAGTAAGCTGCGGTGGAAGGCATTCCATACTTCGCGACTTTGTGTTCTCCCGATCCGCGTGTCGAGTTGATTTTGTCGCGGGGCGGGAACAAAGAGCATCAAACGCCCATCGCGGGCGGGAAATCGCCTTACTGCGGGTGGAAAAGAGTCACATGGCATACAGTTCGTTGTAAAGCGTGAGTATCATTTCCTTCGGCAACAAAAGCTAGGACAAAAAAAGGAAGGCTTCTATAGGTCTACATATAGAACTGCGTTTCATACTCGCGTCAAGCGGTGGGCAGCGTTTTGAGCGGCACAGGCCACTCAATCTGGGCGACGCGAGCAACAGATAGTACTTGGTCTATTCGAAGCGCCCAAAACGCTGGACGATACCTGTACTTCCCTCGTCGCTAAAACGCTGTCGCAGAGTATGAACCACTCTTGGAGAATCTGTGAGGCTTCCATCCGTAAAACTCATAAGTTCCAAACTAAGGCAGCGCTCATAGTTCGGAACTCCTTTGAAGTCCCACAAATGAACGCCCACCTGATTCGCGCGATGGCCTGCATCGCCAACAATGAGCGCTGCCCAAGCTGCGGGTGATCATCGTTCTTCTCCGAGGTACTTCTCCGAGCCTTCCCAGATTTGTCGTCGTTCTTCCTCCAGCTGTTTCACTGTTTCTACTTGATCCTCCCACATATCCACTTCAGGATCCTTGATCATTGAGCAGAATGATGTTAGTATGGTCTGGAATCACTTATTCTATTGGAACTTTGGATTTCAATGATCAAGGAATGGAAAACCTTACTTTTGGTTCACAGACCAAAGTTGCGCGTGGTCCCCAATCATACGTGATCACCTGAGTTTCCTGTCGATCAGAAGACTTTGCAAACGAGATATATCCTAAACGGTGCAGGGTATTGTACAGACAGCCTTTTTCTATACAATATAATAGAAACTGTGGCGCTGTACGGCTTGGAGGGGCATTTTGCACATTCGTTAGCTCCTCTTGTTGCAGGTTCATGTTGATTAAGAGGCCTTACTTTGCTCACACCTGTAACTACTTGTAAAGCTGCAAAATAGTACAAGTCAGGTGCTTTAGTTACGAGAATTTCCAGGTCCTCACCGAGCCTTCACAAGCCTGCAGAAGCTTAGCTGAGCACCGTTCCGTGCCCCCACCAAGCCGAACTGCGCCGAAAGGATAAATGCTTACCATTATGGATGAACTCGGCAGTATGGGAAGGGGAGATCAGTTTCTTGATGTCTCCAAAGACAGCATCTGGGGTATCGTATGAGAGACCAAGTGATTTCTGAAGAACAAACATGGGTCAAGCAGAAAATGATAAGCGATGAGAAAGTACGATGCCAAACGTAGGTGGGAGAGGGGGACACACGGCGAAACTAGACCACACGACTTCGACTCTGGTCGACTGCACCGTCTTGATTCTTGGCCATAATACGATCTGATCGTAAAGTATAAACGCGCTTCAAGACCGAGCCTGTCGGAATAAAGGGATCACTGTCTCCGTGAGAGGCGCAGACGGGAAAGCTCCACCGTACCGCCGCGTGCCCCCTCCCCTCTCCCCCAACTAGCGTGGAAATCGATAATGAAGATATGATCAATAAACTCACAAGGAAATTCTGCAACATTGCTTCAGTGATGCAAGTGACGTTAGACTTTCTGCTTTTCGACAGGAATATAAACATAAGAATAGCCGACAGCAAACCTCTCTTTGCCTGGGCCTAAAAGATCTATTCCAAATGATTAATAACTGATTTTTCGGTAGAAAAACTCTCACCATAGTATCACCAGTGCTACATTCCTGCATGGGCTCTATCCGAACAATGTGTGATTGGTTGGCTCGATGTATGACCTGAGAAGTGAGACTCAGAGAAATCTGGGCACAGTTCGGCTCGGTGGGGGCATTTTGCACATCGAGGGCGCTGTTTATCGACGGGGGGGGGGGCATTCTGCTTTTCATAGATTTGCCAACCCATCTAGGTACCCTTTTTTCGAGTTGACACGTTTTAGGATGGTGGCTAGACGATCTTGCTCCAGCTTCACAAGCGTTCACAAGTTTTACCAGAGTGAGATTTGTAAACCGGAACCAGGGAAGCAATTGTGCCCCCGTCGATAAACAGCGCTCACATTGAGTACTGCCGGTGCCTTCTACCCCTGAAGACCGGCAAATTGCTGAGGCTATGAAGCAGGCTTCATTTACTCATGACAAGAGTCTACAGGTCTTAACAAGGTTAGACGTGCAATTTTACAGGAACCGGCAAAGGAAATTAGCGAACTAACAAATGCCCCTCCTGAGCCGAGAAACGCCAAAATTCAATTACATCAAACCTTCAATTGTTAGGATTACCTTGCAACCAAATGAACGTTGAAGAACATTGCTCGCTTCCCTTAGTACGTGGCTGTACTCCCTCTTGGAAAAGAAATGCTGTTTTTGGGCTACAATATCCTTGAGAGCTCCGTCTTTTTCCTTAAACCAAAAATAGCACGAAAGTTTCTAAAGGTGAAAGAGAAGGTACAGAATTGGCAAGGAACAGCAACCCACGTACGTTAGAGGACGCATGGAGCAAGTGACGAGCTAGATGGCCCAGTTTTGACGTCCTTGTTGCCTGTGTTAAGCCCTGAAAGTTGGTCTATACGTGATACATAAACTCAAGCTCTCTAACGCATATCTAGGAGTTGGAGAGGGTGTGTCTGCGTACTTCATTTGAACATGGCGTACGACACATCTCTCGTAGTAGGCCCACCCATGGAGAAAAACAGTTATCCTGTGCTTGTGCTTCAAATACTGATAACGAATCGTTTGGAAAACGAGCAAGATCTACAAAGGTAGCCGCGCTACACTTGAAGTGTAGTCGCATAGCCACGCCACCCATCTGGTTATGGAATAGTGAATTGAGGTAGACTAAATGAACTGCTAACGGAGGCGTGGATTCATCCTACGGCCTATTTCCGATGCGTGTAGCGCGTGGGTTCTGCCACTTGGGTTGCCCTACGCTTTTGTGACCTTCGAGCCTGAGACATTCTGGAAATAACGACCTTTTTTGGAAGAACTTGTCGCCTCTTTATTGCGAATAAAAAATACCAAGAAAATATGAATAATGAATGAATATGGAGAACAGCGAGCGCATAATATTACTGATCGTTCCGTGCTACCTTTAGCGAATTTTTCATTTAGCAACAAAACCGCAGTGAAGAACAACTTGGAATTAAACGTCACACAATGATGCAAATTTTAAATTATATGCGCGCATAATAATATGATGTCGGTATTGCACATCCCTTCTTACGCCTCTTTTCCGCGGAAACAACTATGAGAGGCGTGAAAGCAGGGATGTTACGTAAATACACGAAGGGTAGCCGTGTAATTGCACACCGCACGCGATTACCGTAACCCCAAAACTGTTTGCATTCGCCCATGGAGTGCAAATGAGGTGCTAATAGGTTGGTCACAAACGTAAGCGAAACACATGACCAACATAGTTACCTCTAATATTAAATGGATCCTACGCTAATATACGTTCCAAGAAACTCATGCTTCCTTTGGCCTTTGTAAAAACGGCGAAGTTTGCGGTTTTCACTCGGCAGCTACGCACTAATGAAGAGTATTGTTTTCAACAAGTTGTCTGATCAGCCGTTTCACTGACATCGTAGGGTGTTTGTTCTTGGAGGGTTTATACACGATTTCATTCCAATCCATTTTGTATATTGAACTGAAGGAGGCATTTGAATTTTTCAGGTATCAGCGGCTGGAGCAGACCTACAGTCTAACGGCGCCTTCCTCATCTTGCGAGGTCTCGATTTCCTCTGTGGTTCTAAGTTTGGATGCGATTTTCCCTTTTGTAATGCGGGGTCTGATTCATGGCCAAACGTTCTTTCCACGCGGCTAAATCTCTGTCCCAAAGAAGAAGAAATATCCACTACCGCAGACACCCATTCAAGGTGCTGCTTCGCTCCTCGCTCGGAAAGGAAGCCACCAACCTTTCGTTTCGAGCGAAAGGCAGCGTCAGCAGCTAGGGATCAAGATCTCAATGTAGCGAACGCCCGCGTCCACCGCCGTCTAGTCTAGGAGTCATGAATAGGGATATTTGAGGAGCATCATGAAAATGCGTCGTGTGCGACCGCACCGTACAACTGCCAAAGCTTAGAATTGAGCTGGCTTGATGTAAGGTATAGGGCAGCTTTGAGGTGCCGTAGCACGCACCGCAATATCGGATGCCCAACCAGCTGTGTTAACCCCTTGCCATAATCCCCACTCTTGAACCCTCTTGCGCGCTGGAGTTCGCTACTTCAAAGATAGCCTAAGTGGGTCTGCTGGCCACGTGGATGAGCTAGCTGGTCTTCCTGTCGGTCATTGAATGGATGTGATTTCATGTTCAGGAAGTCGAACTACGCCTGGAGACCTACTTTACACAAATCGAAGACGGAACTCCAACTTCGAAAACTGGGCAGTAAAGGATAAATTGTCCCAAAAATTGCAGAGTGACGAGAAGCATTGGTCATTTTTCGATCTACTCCCGAAATCCTGTACATCTTCAAACTAATGCGATTAATTCGTTTCATCAATACTACAATTCTTTATTTCTTCAATTCGTCAATTCTTCCGATAAGAGACGGGAAGACCGTACCAGTTACCAAAGTAGAAGTAGTACGGAATGGTTAGCTACGGAATGTTTCCTTGAAAGCTATCTTAATAAAGAACCCCTTAATACACGTAATGACCAACCTATCGCACCACAGTTGCACTCCATGGGCGAATGCAAACAGATTTGGGTTACGGTAATCGCCTGATGTGTGCAATTACACGGCTACCCTTCGTGTATTTACGTTAACATTCGTGAAGAAGGTCTCCTTCTGTGAACGAGATGCTTCGTTCACAAACCAGATTTCTCCATTGGAGATACTCCGGCGGTTATCTACTGAAGTTGCTCATGAAGCCAAAACTCCTAAAGTTGTCATCCCTCCCGCTATCAAGGTGAGTTTCCTTTGAGTCTGCACAGCTTTTGTTCTTCTTTCTATTTTCAGTTTTTGTTATTTTTAAGGGGCCCAGTTAACTGTTTTGAGAGGCTCTGTGCAATTTGGTGACGGCAGAAGTAGGCTAGGCAGTACGTTCCTTCTCGTAGCTTGCCCGCATCTTCTAACGGTGATCTACCTTCCACCGTGATCCAAAGATGTTTTTTCCAAGCATATAAAAGTCCGATGGAAAAAGATTCTTCAAAACAGGACACATTCCAGCGAGGACCAACGGATTTGCTTCAAGCGTTGTCGGAGACGGTCGGTGTCGATCCAACAGCGCCTCATTTTGCTTTCATCGATGATCCTGCCATGATTCCTAGCACAGCAGCCACTAAGAGGACCTACTATATGGCTAAGGTATGTTTGAACGGTATGGCTTGTTCCTAGGGAGAGCCAAATAGATTATATGCTGAAGGACTCTGGTTTCGCCCTATTTTCTCTATACCTTTCAGGAAATGGGTAAACGCGCTGCGCGTCAATTAGCAGAGGAGTGGCCCACTTTGTTCGCCCTTGACCGTGATGATCCTTACCTCCCGGCTTTTCGACCTCAAAAGCCAGCAGATCCGTTGCAGGTAAGTTAATCTTCATAGGAACCAATTCTTCCTAGTAGAACAGTCTAACCCTTTCTTAGGTTGAACCCACAGAGAAGAATGTTTTGGCAATGATCGAGAAACGAGAAGTTGAAGATGCTGTGAGGCTGTACGAGAGGATAAGAGCGGATAATATCGAGGTCTCACAAGAAACTCAGGTAGCTGCTTTTTCAATGGAGCAGGATGGGTCTTCCTACGGTATTCGGACCAGAGCTTTACTTCATGGCCCGGAGATAGAAGGGGCGTGGCTGCGTACTTCATTGAACATAGCGTAGGATGCGTTTCACTCGAATGTTTCCATTTGGGACAGCTGCCATCCAGTCTTGTGCTGGCGAAAAACATGGCTGGAGTAGTGCCATGCCGAATAATCTTACCAGAGGCGTAGTCTTCGCCCTATTTCCTTGGGGCACGCAAGCCACGCCCACTCAAATTTCTGAGACAATATAGCGTTGTGTGATTAGAGTCATAACTTCAGTGGTTCAGCAGATTTGCCAAGCTTGTCCCAAAAAGGACGCTTATCTCATGCAATGCCTACACAATTTTACAAAGAACTAAGGCAGATTTCAGCCAGGCAGGGGGCAGCCAAAGGCTAAGCGACAATCGGTACAGGCCATACCTAATCCATGTAAATTTCCTAGTGACTCAAGTGGCCCGTGCTAACATTTCGCAGACTCATTCAAGGAAGTTTACAGGTATTCACACCAATGGACAAACAAAAAAGGCGCCAGATGCCCGTCTTTCCCCCCCCCCCCCCCACATTTTCCCAGCGGAACAGCGCGAAATTAGGCATGTAGTTGTGATGCCGACACGCGCCATTTATCTGAGATGTTAAAACCTAGATTGCGAGCTGATTCAAGTTGGTTCCTGACTACCAATGGCAACAACTATGTGCCGTATTTCTGAAGTGAGGAAAGAAATCGGAAATAAGGTTATTATGCGCGCTTTTGGCGAAAACGAACCAAACAAATGGACACCTGTAAGTATACTTGTTTACTTTTTATTAACTGTGCACTTTCTCATTAATTTTTCAGGCAGGATTGGCGGACTTGTTGTTCGAAGTGCTACTCCATAAACCCCGAAGTTGTGATCGAATATACATCCGCTGGTTAAATCAAGTATGCTCACAACTACTTTGCCTTATCTTTTTTCCCGCAGCTAGTGCCACAGGACGGATTCCCTCCCTCAACACTTTAATTACTGAGTGCGAGTTATTGAAGTGTAAATACCTGTAGGAGTTTGCGAGCATTCGCGCTGCGGTGGATTATCTCTCGTTCCCCATCGATCTTTTCGGTACGTGCCCATGAAAGCCCTGAAATTACCAGTGAAACATACAAAAAGTAGGAGCAGACGTTCATAACTTTACTGCTAAGTCGTCCCCGTGCCGACATGATAATTCGAACTGGGACTGGCAAAAGAAATTAGGCCATAGAGCAATACTGGCCCCCCAAACCGAACAGCTTAACCTATATGTCTGCATGGGACTCTTTTTACCTTAACTATTTCGGCGAATTTTGAGTAATTTTCTATCCACGAGCTGTATACCATCCTCAAATTCCCCTTACTGTTTCAATGTCCATTCATGGAAACAACTATGGCAGAAAATCAATGAGTTAAAACTCGCGAATTGGCTTCCTGAAGTTACGTTATTTATCCCTTTCTCCAGTCGTCAAATACTGTTCCTCACCCTATCGTTTGAATTTTGCAGATTCGCCACTCCTAGAGAGCGTAGCCAGAGCTAAAGCAGCGGCACAAAGGTATTCATTAAACATAGACCCATACAGGCCTAGGAAGCGGGCGCCAAGGAAAACGCTTTCAGGAATTCGCTTCATCTGGAGTCCTTATGCGTGAAGCAATATGCACGCGCTGATTTCTATAGCAAGTTTCAAGGAAGCAAAGGGTTTGATGAAGGAAATGGCTGAAAAGAAAGTGAAACCAACCATAAGCACGTGGAATGCCATGATCGTATCGGCCTAAACAGGTTGGAAGGTACTTTTAGGCGGACGTGATGTCTGTTGCGCGTGGATCTGACTTCAAGTATCACCTCTTTCTTATCGATGAACGCCCTAGCGGACACGTTTGCTGCGTTTGATGGAACGTGATTGGTGAGCATGCTTGCCGTTGGAAGTCAGCCATCGCTTGAAACCTACCGAATTATTCTAAATAATATTGTGGAGTCGATTCCGAACAGTGATTCTAAGGATGCTGAAAAGAAGACGGATATAATCTTGGTTGGTGGATGTTCCGGCGCAGTTCCGCGACCTTGGGGGGAGGGCATATTGCACTGCTACTTTCCATAGTCGTGTTCATTGCTTCACAACAGTTCACAAGTTACACTCTTTGGCTGGGTTCAGTTCATAGGTTCTCTCTACTTGGTGGCTCAACAACACGACGATGGGAAGCAGCGAGGTGCAAAACGCCCCCTCCCGTCGCTGAACTGCGCCAGTCTGCCCGTTCACTTCCTCATTCATTTTCTTTCATCTTCCATTGCTTGCTGTCGTTTTTTACTGGCCTTTTACCTGCTGGAAAATATTCAAGTGCACTAAGGTTTTTCTTTCAGGGCGTAGGAATTACATGGCTTTCTGAGATGCTCTCTGATTTGGAAGCTCGTTCTTCACTTGAACTTTGCTCTGCTAAAGACCATCTGTTTTTCTTGGATGCCATGGGAGTCGCTTACCAGTACGTGATCGTAAGAGTGTTTATTGCCGCTACGGCACGTCCTCGCGTTGGAGGGAACTCTCGGAAAACACCCCCCCCCGCCTCGAAAGTCTTCGCCTGTGGCACGAATCTCCTTCCCCATCCTACCTGCTATTTTGTTATACTCTTCTATCCTCCTACCACTTTTCCGGGTTTTTTTTCAGAATTCTGCAGTTTTTCTTTAAGAGACTGTTGCAGAGGGGATCTACATAATGCATGTGAAACGAGAAAAACAATAAAAAGTCGGGAAATGAGCAAGAGAATCGTAAATTGTTGCTTCGTCGGCGCAGCAATGAGCGCGACGTTTCCTTATTTGTACTACCCTTTCGATTGGAGCATCGGATTTCATGTAGACAAGGACATGGTAGACACTTATGTCTATTTTTGGTCATATGTCTATTCTCGACCAATACCACCTAAAATCGTCGTCATCACCAGGCGCGACGTCGCACGCGACGCCCATTACGATTCTCTTGCCATGTACCCGGACTGTCACTTCAGCGAACAGAAGCATTGTTCTTAAAGGAAAATACTGCCTCATTTTCTTCTCCCTCTGGCGACCAAATACTACCCCCATTGCTGGGAACCCCAACGTTCGACGTGACCTGATCATCGCAGTTGTTGGTGACGTGTCAAAGTCACCATGTTATGAACCCTTCTGTTCAGCGCTGGAAATATGGAAATAGCCGAACGCCTGGTGAAGCTTTACGAAAGTTCGGCAAATAAAGTGAAGCTGCCAGTCCTCCCAACAGAAGGAATGTGAGTATATGAACCCTGTATTGGAATTTGCAGAACAACTGATAGAGTGCGCTTCCAGATTCTACAACCGTTACCTTCTGCTTTTCATCGAGCGAACAACTTCAATGGAAGAAATCGAAAAGAAGTACAAAGAACTTGTTCCACGACTTGTTGGAGTATCTCGACAACTCACTCTGGCAGTAGCTGAGAAACTGAAGGTAATGGATGAATTTTTCAAAGTTGTATACTTGAGTAAAAAGCCGTAGGGCTCCAGCGACACATTTAATGAGAGTTAGTTAAAATTTGGAAACCTCTCATTATTCCCCATTCTTCCTTTTGAACGTAGGCAGACCTCAGGCGCAAACTGTATGCTATTAATCATGGATCTGTTCACCTGCACCCTCTCACCGATACAGTGGTCCTTTCCCCAGCTGAATACCGATCTTATAAAGCGTCGAAGGCTAGATCTGCGCGGCCCAGTCTGGCTGCGATGAATGCTACTGCTTATAGGGCCGATTCCCGTTTGCTCTTCCTTTTTGGGATGGTAATTCGAGCTGTAAAAGAGGGAGCAAGCACGCTCTTATAACACTTTTTGCTATTGTAGATATAAAGCCTAATTATGACCTATCAATGTTCCAGAATTTAGCGTTTGATATTCCGCATCCTTTAGCACTCCCTCCGTTGGACTCTTCTACATCGATTGATTGAAGATGGCATTTGTGCTCGCCAACTGGTCGATTTTCGTGTAGCACCAACATTTAGGAATCTTCTGACGGATGTTCATTACCAGGTAATGATATCGAAATTGGCGCAGTTGGGCTTGGTGGGGCAGTTTGCTGGTTCCCATGATTCGATCAGTGTCGATGCATCCTGTTAAGGCCTGTGAACTCCTGTAAACTATGCACTTCCACAAGCTTCGTTTACTCTACACGTCTTCCCAAGGTGCAAGTTAATGGGAATTAACAAAAGACACTGGACACTAGCAAAATGCCCCTCCTAAGCGTCAGCGCCTTGAATTCCACAGCGCTAACGGTTGTATCCAGTTCTGTTGCTCTAGGCACTTTCGGTAGAGCATCGTGAACAATATGCAGATCTCATTCGCCGTTTGGTTGATATATGGGTAGAATTCAGTCGTTTCACTGGTGAGAGGCAGAAGAGACTGCAGTTCAAGCTGTCACCTAGTAATGTTAGTTGAAGTTTACTTGAAGTTTCTCCTTTTTTGTCCTGAACTATCAGGAATGAAGGTATTGTTCAGATTTCCGAGTGTGCGCTTCTGCTTGATCGGATAGGCGACTCACAAAGAGCCTACGAGCTCCTTGAGATGCTTCTAGATCCAGAGGCTTCAGAAGGAGAAGAAGCTACAATTCTGAATGCAGGTATTTCATTACTCCATAAAGCATTTTTCAGAGTAAGTGATGGGCTGATGCATTTCTTTTACAGGTTACGTCAGACATAATGCAATGTTAGAATTATTCGAAAATGCATTGAGGAGAGAAGGATCCGTACAAGTGAGTTTCAGAGCCCTTTCAGTTACTGAATATGGTGTTGCCGGGCAGGGGGGAGTACAGTAACAAGTGGCCCTAACTCGCACGGTGTGCGGTCTCAAAACCCTGGTTGGTTTCCAATAGGTCACCAAAAACTTGGTTCTCTGGGGTCTATAAATTGGTATCAGAATTTTCTGCGTCGAGAAAAACAGACCAACACATCAGTTACCCCCGTCATTGCATGGGCCAAGTGGCATTCGAAGGTCACCACGATTTTAAGTGAAAATTTCGTTGACTAAGTAGGAGAACCTGAAAAAGGCGTCGCTTTACCAAACGCTTTTCTGCAAGACTGTAATAAGTGGGCGGGGGGTCGTCGTGGGCGGAGTCGACTATATCATTATATGAAAGACATTTAACCATGTGTATGGGTGCTACAACGGAGTTGCGAAAAAAAACTAGTGTTAGTAGTATTTACAGAGTATAACTTGTGCAAGTTCTGTTCCGCAGAGAGACGTGGCCGAATCTGGGGCAGTAGCTTTTTTGGGGTTTACTATACGTACAACGAAGCATAGTGTAGATGGTGCTCCGCGCAAGAATGCGAAAGTCCAGAGGAGTCCAAAAATTTTGCGATTTTTTTCTTCTCGAATATTCCAGTGCGTAATACTTTTCTCAGCGGTCTGGAATAGAGAGAGATTTCATAGAATTTAGCGATCGACTACGAGATTTCGTTACCGTTTTTTTTTCAGGGCCGCAACTTGTGTAGAGATTCTGAGCGTCAGTTTACCAAGAAATAAGCTGGAACCTCTGGTACAACGAATACATGATAGGGTCAGGCCTGATCTTTCTTTCTTTATCTAGTGAGTAATCCATGAGGGATTCTGCACGTCTTGTTTTGGCTCGGCGATTGCGGTCATCTCCTGTATTTGCGGCGCGCCAGCCTGTTTCTCCCCATTGTTGAAAGTGAATCAACGACAGCACTGGAAAACGCTGATGCTGCCCGCCGCGCAAACACAGCCGCGTAAATCTGATGCTGGCGCCAAACACAGCCACCGTAATATGTCGCAGGCATTCGGCTACGAATAAGACCTAATGTTCCTAGTTTATTGTGGCATTATTTCTATACAGTAACTGTTCCAGAGATGTGATTTGAACCGAGATCAACATAGAATATATGAAGTGTATCGATACGGTTACGGACCTCAATAAGAGTACTGTACATACGCTAGTTTTATAAGAATTCTTGATGTTAGTCTATTTTTTATTGATAGCTTACAATCTGCTAGGCGTTAAGATATTGTTGATGTTCAGAAATTGTTGTTGGCAGTTTTGTTGTTATCAAATCAAAGTTTTTGTTTAACTTTAATTACGCAGCTCAGATGGCTGATAAAGTGATAATATGCATATGCGCGACAGAAATTAATATTTCGATTGATCGTATAATGTTTAGAATGAGTGATACAGACTTAATACAGAAACCAACTTTTCCTCGCTCTACAAAATAGGCCCTTGTCGGCTCAGGCGGGAGGCGGCAATTCTGAAAACTTTTGCAAGCTCATTGTTAAAGAACGTTTCGGTAGGACCCTGTAAATTCTTGCAAAGCTCCGGAAATGTACGTGGCTCACACTCTAGTGAGAGAATTCACAGTCCTAACTAGGTGGCCTGTAACGGAATTTCTCTGACTTCTCTGTACCGCCGAAAGCCGAGATACGCGACCCTGTAAATCTAAGCGCATTCGGTTATTTCGGTACATTTCGCTAACGCGCAGTGAAAGGAAGAATAAACGACCGGAACAAGTTCCTCTGGCGGCATCGAAAATTTGGCAAAGTTTCCTCCTCCCGCCGAGTTTGTTTTCAATTTCGCGCTTCGCCACCCGCTCCAATTACGGCCCTTATGGGTCTAGGACCGACAGATCGCATGTACCCTCGAGAGGTTGAGCGACACACAGCTATTCCGGCTCTCTCCTTTTTTTTTTTTCCTAGACGTAGCGATCATTACCGGTAAAAAAAAACGCCACGTGCATGGGCCCAAGCCACGCCTCCTGACCCGTCCGGCCGGATTGCGACAATATCAGCTACGCTTCCCTCGCCCTTTCGAAAAAGTGACCAAAAGCCGATTATCTATTTAGTGCTGATTTTCGACTACATGGCTTGGCTGTGGATGTGCCACTTGTGGGCCATGAATGGGAATGAATGGTAATGTTCATTAGATACGTTGGTCCCCCCACAGCTGGTGTCAAGAAGTCTGTAAGGGAGGGGAGGATGCCTAATGATTCGCAGGGAAGATCAGCTCATTGAGAGAGTTTATGATATACCAGATTCACTGAAAATCAGAGATGCCGGGGGGTGGTGGTGGGATGAGTGAGATAGGTTTCCAGTACAGGGAAGGGGTCAGGGACGGGGCACGCCCTGCGACCCTTCTTCCCATCCCCTATTGTTCCTACCCCTTCATCTAGTTTCTCCCAGCTCCCAACCTTCTCTAGACTTTTTTCCAAAACCTCCAAGTTCTCCACAAAAAACTGCCATCAAGCGGGAGGTAAATAGCCTACGTGAAACGGGAAAACCCGAGCGGAAAGGTAAACAACCAACAACCTTTCTCTCGGAGGCAAATACGATCTCTCTCCCTCTACAACCTCACTCGCTGGGAGTTCCCAAGACCACTGGCCAAAAAGCAGCACAAAGGTAAAGTGAGCCGTTTCTACTGAAGCCTTTGCTACTGTTGCGTTGTTCATTTCATTCCTACTAAAAATGTAAGGATGTGCCACCATTCGCCATATGTTCACCATCGCTAAGGCGTTTGAATGGTATTTAGCCAAGAGACGAGCTTAGAGCGACCTGTAGACTCGAGCTGATGTTCAGTTACCATTTTTGCTTTCATCAACTTTCTCATACTAGTCGTTCGAGCGTGAATACGGAACATGTGAAATGAGGCGTCCTCTGCCACATTTCGCGCCAATCAGCGCTCTTCGATTTGGGAGGGGCATTTTGCGCTTCCGTTTGTTCCTTCCGTTAGTTCCTATAGAATTGCACGTCACAACTTGCTGACTTCTGTGGATTCTTGTGAAGTGTAAGCGATGCTCTTGCTACTGCATCGTTAACAGCATTTACAGGTCTTCTTCACAGGAAGCATAAGCAGGGATCGATGAGAATAGGAAAATGCCCCCACCAAGCCGAACTGCGCCAGCCATTCTTTTCGTTTTGATATCCTCTATTCAGTACATTCCCATTTATTTTCCACGTTTGCATTGAGCCACTTTTTGTTGTGTTACTATCAATCTGCAAGTTTTTCAACAGAATGCATTAATGTGCTGAAGTGAAAAGATCAATAAAACCGGTTCTCACCGATGTTCCCTGACAGGAGCTTCGGTAAACTTTCGCCAATCAAGACTACTCCCTCATTGCTGTCATGATGGATGCCTCGCTTTATAAATAACGTTCAGTTGCATGTAGGCCCGTCTCAAGTGGGCGCTAGTCAAGTATAGGTCCTCAGTCGGTATGTTACGTGCTAGGACGCTCGGTCACATCCTGTAGCAAGGAAAACTTTTGCAAAGTACTTTCCCGAATCCCCTTCTCTAGTACTACCCCCTCCCCCCTGCTGCCTTTCCCATCCTACCTGCCATCCCGACATCTATAGACTTTTCCAATATCTTTTCGCCTTTCCCTTTTTCTCCCAGGAAGAGCTGCAGTTTTTACTCCAAACCAAGTGTAGCGGGAAGGATGGGCATGAGGGATATATACGGGGGGGAGGAGGGGGGGGGGGCAAAAAAGACACTTTTCTTCCTCGACCTTTGAGGCGATGTAAGTTACACTTTATTAAATTCTGATTCGGACATTTCCACCATCATATTCAACAGCACATTGTACACTATCACGATACTCCGCCACAGCCTTCTGGACGAGCGCCATCGAGAGATTCTGCCACGCGACCGTGATTCGGTGCCTGAGTTCAGCGAGATCGTTGATTTCTCCGCCACTGTAGACCACCCTGTTGAGCTCCGTTCCGAACCCGGTAACCGAGGTCGTTTAGGGCAGGTGGCATCGGATATTCTCTTCACGTTCTCAACGCCCTTCAATTCCAAGTAGGCGAGAGTTTTTCCAACGCCCTTCGATTCCATGTGGTGGCACCCAATCCTGTAGCAGTACGAAGTTTCCAAGATGGTACAGGCGACGACATGAAGGCAGGATATTCTCCTCGAGTTGGTCGATGTAACGTCCGCACTTTCAGTCCGGGTCCACGAAGAAAATATCGGTCTTCCCATTCCAGGAACGTCCGGTCCATACCATCAACCCGCGCCTTGGCGACTGTGGTGAAGATGATATCCTGGACCGTAGCGACGTTGTCGGAGCTGCTCGATGTTGGAGGTCTTCCAGATCAAGAGTGCCGGTCTCCAGGTAGCTGTCCATGGGTGACTCCATACAAGAAGTTTCGCAGCTGTTTGGAGGTGACGTGAATTCCATAGGCCTTCTTCAGTTCGGCTGCGATTGGAGATGACTTCATATTTTGGTGTACATGAAGGTGATGGACGAGAGCCTGCTCCTGCTTATCGAGGAACATCTTGGGTATCTTCCGCCCTGGTACTCGTATCCACGTCCTCTGTCTGGGCTGCGAAAACTTTGCTGATATGTGACTCGGCCGAAGTGTCTTTTTTGCCTCCCCCGCAGCACACGAGAACCGGGAAAAACCGCGAAAAATGTAATAACTCAGCGGAGAAATCCAGATACGACTCCTTTCCTTTCGAAGCGATGACCAGATACATTCCCCCCTCCTCAATGGGAGTCTCCGATGTGAACAGGACGCGTGAAACAGGAAAAATCAATTATCAAAAAATTCACCAGGCCAAATAAGACCTGAATTGCCCAGCGAACCCAAGTCGTTCTGTAGGACAAAAAGTTTCACGACACGTCATTAACGCGGGGATGTAATTAGCTCCGAGATGGGCTCACCACTTTTCTGCAAGGGAGTTGGTCAACACAAACAGAAGCTCAATCCCTAGGCTGAGGCGAAAATCTCCCTGTCCCAGGTTGAAAACGCAGCCGTGGGTAGGCCACGCTGTGCGAAGGAGTTCGCCAGCGAAAGGGGCTCCTTGAGATTGCACACCGTTTCCCGCTCGACGGCAGTTTCGGAAGTTTTTTTTTGGAGAAAACCGGTAGAAAGTTGGGAAAACATAGGAAGGTGGTAGGTAGTAGAATAAGGAAGGGGGAGGGGGCTCGATGTGGGAGAGGGAACCTCTTAGGGGGTCGCATTGTGGAAAACTTCTCTACAACAGTAGAATCTGCCCTATCCGCGGATGGTCTCATCCCATGCTCTGCGACACCCCCGTCAAA